TACCTACATCTCGATGTTTGAGAGTGTTTAGAATAGCGTTCGTGCAAAACAGACGCTTTTCAATTTTCTCCCATTGACTTTTAATGGAGAGGCCGCAAAACTGACCTGACCTTAAGTCACCGATATCAAAATTCCGAGATATACATTTTATAGATACTGTTACCCTCATCAATCGCTGAAAGTTTCAAAGTGATCGGTCGCTCGGTGTAGCTATGGCAGACATTGAAACTTTTTATGAGGTGAGGTCACTTCAAGTGACCTGGTGACCTGACCTTGAGCGACCTTGGTCTGAAATTTTCACAACATGTGTAGAATTGATGTATGATAAGGTGTATGTACCAAAAACGGCTACGCTCAGCGCCACCGTTTTTGAAATATCTGCAAAAAAACCGCAGGGGGTGTGTGTTCAACCCCCCCCCCCCCCCCCCACACACACACACTTGGGCGCGGGTTAATACCTGGGCCTCGTTTCATAAAAGGAATTACTTACGGCGTTCCATCAATTATGCCAGATTTGGCGTATTTGATGCCAATTCGGTTTCATAAAGCCGGAGACCGGAGTAATTCACGCCATCGAAATTACGGAGCTTCAAATGCTCGATTCCGGACCAATTGATGCCATTTGGGTTTCATAAAACGACGTATTTAACGCCAAATATTTTATCAAGTTCTTGATATCAGTGGTGTAAACTACGCACAAAAATGTTGCGTGAATTTGAATTAATGTGAAGATTCGAAGCCAATTTTTAATATATTTTATAATGTTGAGCCCGATGAGGAAGAAAGAACAGCCAAAATGAGAAAAAGAAACTGCAAAACTTCTGTACCAGTCGCTTTTTGTGGCCACTATCGGAATTTTGTTTATTCGCCGCAGTGGCGCAGCCAGAACTCTGGCGACGGGGGTGAGAGACGTTCGCGATGGGCCCCCCAGCAAAGTGGGCCCCCTCAACCTAATGGGGGCCCCTTACCAACAACGAAAGGGCAGATCATTGTCCTGATAATAACCAGCCAAATCGGGGAAAAGGACAAATATCTCTTGATCTGAAGAGGCACGTAAAAAACAACAGCATATTTACAGAAACACGACCATTCTGCCCATATTTGATGGACAGCGTGCAATTCATGGCCAGCGGCCACTCAAATGGTCGGGCTAGGTCAAAAAGCTTTTAAAAAAGCTCAACATCAGTTTTTCGACTATTACTTTTGATATAGGAGACGAGGTAGAGTAATGAAATTGTCTTGAAGGTGTTAATCATTCATTCGGATCAATTGATGACCATCATGAACTCCTCAAGAAAGGACATGACCTTGATCTGCGGTCACATTTTGAAGTTGAACTTTTTAATGGAAATTATAGGTGTTAACATTCGATGCATGTTAACGGGAGAATGATGACAAAGTAAATGTTTCATGATTTTTCTCACCAAAGTTCTTGGAAAAATTCTTAGCAATTAGCAAAACTATTTTGGTAAAATGCGACTATTTAGATGGTTTCGCCCTCTGCTCTGTTGCCAAACTTGACATGAGGCATTGAGGTCAAATCTTAAAAGCGAAAGCGTTTTGAAAGGCCTATCGAATGAGTTGTTCCGCGAAGCTCTAGCTCTTTGGTTCACGAGTTATACGGTAACGGTTATTTGTGAAAATATAAAAACAAGAATTTTTTCGTCGTAATCTTGTCTTTGTGTTTATCATAATTTTATCATAATTTCATCTTCAATGACCTCAGCGATGACCTAATCGAAAAATGACCTCTACGATTCTGAAGCATCCTACAGCGATCTGTTGCTTTTCTCGTCTTTCTAGCCTTCTTAAAGGGACCCTCCCACCTTAACATTAGATTTGAGTTGAGATAGCCAAAATGGGGTCCATGGCTCACAATTACCGGTTTCGGCACTCACAACATCGAGAAATGCCTTAAATCGGAAATATTGAATTTCAAAATTGCAGCATTTTGATTCAGAGGGGCTAATGCATAGGAATACCCCTCTGAATGTGTGACGTCAGTGCAGATATCTAACGATTTTTAAATGTTTGACTAAAACGTTTTGTAGCACGCGGTGGTATATGCTGCTTTGCGCGCAACAAATGCCGCACTTTCAAATAAAGTCGCTAGGAACAGCGGAGATCCCAAAAAGTAAACAAAAGTAAAAGTCTAATATCTTGAAAACCGGTGAATATTTTTCGATGAAATTTGGTAGCTATTCGTTTTTGCTCTTTCTGGACCGAGCGACATCACTTTCATGCCAATTCATTAACTTTTTTGAAGGTGGGAGGGTCCCTTTAAATTATGATCGGGTTTGGCCGATACGCCCCCCCCCCCCATGGCTGATTGCACGCGTTAGAGAGCTATCGAACCCACTTTCAGCGCGCTATAGCTTTATATGTCCTCGAGTGTCGAAATAGGCGAAACTTTTCCTTCAATGAACATGATGACGTGGGCTTTGGTCTGAACTGCAACATGACTGAAGTAATTTCTCCATGATTTTCGACGCTCTTTAGAAAGCTGCCTACCACCGCACTTGTCGCTACGTGACCCTGGAGTCGGGTTAGAAGGGAATATTCAAACACCCCTCAGGGGCGTAAAACTGTAAAGCCTGGGGCCCTGCTCTGCGGGGCGCGGTCGAGCTAGGCTAGAGCCAGTTCGGGATGTTTACAAGCCCACGTAAAGCCCTCAAAAATCTGCATAGAGCACAGGCCTTCCAAGACTTGGGGGTTTAGATATCAACAATCGACATGGTCTTTTGAGACCTGCGTGGTGGCTATCAGAGGTCGGTGGGCCCCTCAAAAGCCGGTGCAGGAGCCTCGGGTGTCAGTTTGGAGCCATCATGGACCGGTGTGAAGTCCTGATGAATACCTAGGCGTCAAACCCCTAGACGTCAGGGTGGGGCCGGGCGGTGAGGCAGGCACAGACCTGAAGAGAAGAGGAATTTTCAGATGTCGGCTTGGCATCTTAACACCGCGTGGTTCTCCTGCTCAGTGACCCGACCTGACCCCTCCCCAGACACCCACCGTGTGGTGGGGCCCTGCATGGCTTTCTCAGAGGCTGACATATCGTACTGCGGGACCTCCATGAGCCTCAAAAACCTCTATGGGCCCCCTCACGCTTGGGGTAGGCTTCCTGAAGCATAAAATCTCTGAGTCTTGAGATGGGCCCATTAGACATGAACTGGGCCATCAATATACATGTGGTGAGTTGACCTATATCAAACATGATATCGGCTCAATCAGGATTGGGATAGGCCCTCTCAGACCCAGACCAGGCACGGAGTACGGACCCTCCCACACATAGGATGATCCTTTCATTCCTGGGTTGAGTCTTCTCAGGCCTGAAATGGGCCTCTCTCAGGCCTGAAGTGGACCCTCTCAGGCCTCAAATAGGTCCTCTAGGGCCTGAAATGGGCTCTCTCAGGCCTGACATTAGCCCTCTCAGACCTGAAATGGCCCCTCTCAGGCCTCAAATAGGACCTCAAGGACCTGAAATGGGCCCTCTCAGGCCTGACATTAGCCCTCTCAGACCTGAAATGGGCACTCAGACCTGAAATGGGCCCCCTCAGCCCGTAAATGGTCCCTATCATGTCGAAAAAGGGCCCCCTGGCCCCTCATACCGTAACTGGGCCCTCTCAGGTCTGAAATGGTGCCTCTTATGCCTGAAATGGGCCCTCTCTGGCCTCAAACGGGCCCTCTCTGGCCTCAAACAGGCCCTCTAGGGCATGAAATGAGCCCTCTCAAGCTTGAAAAAATGCCCCCTCAGGCCAAAAATGGGCCCCTCTCAGGCCTGAAATGGGCCCCTCTCAGGCCTGAAATGGGCCCTATCAGGCCTCAAGCATGCCATCTAGGGCCTGAAATGGACCCCTTCAGGCCTGAAATGGGCCCTCTCAGGCCTGAAATGGCCCCTCTCAAGCCTGAAATGGCCCCTCTCAAGCCTCAAACAGGCCCTCTAGGGCCTGAATTGGGCCCTCTCAAGCTTCAACTGGGCCCCTTCAGGCCTGAAATGGGCCCTCACATACCTGAAATGGACCCTCTCAGGCCTGAAATGGCCCTTTCATGCCATGGAACGGGCCTACCTAGGCCTTGGATTAGTTCAATCGGGCCTTGGATCACCCCTTAAATCATAAAATGGGACTATATATCCTAAGGGGGGGGGGGGGGCTATCAGGCCTGAAGACTGTTTTTCAGTCCTATGACGGAACTTGACATTAGTGATAAAAAGATTGTCAGGCTGCATAACGTTACAGTTCGAATCGACGGTGGGCCCCTAGGATAAGAGACGGGGGTGAGATCTCACCCCTTTCACCCCCCCCTGGCTGCGCCACTGATTTGCCGCGCCGCGCCACTTTCGTAGTTGGGCACTTCTGCTTAGCTGGCTTTCTGCTGTTTTCAATATATTGATTTAATAAAGGATGGTCATCAATATCAATTTTGTTTTTTCATAAATAATTTTTAAGATTTAAATTCAACATAAATGTTGTATAATTTCCCGTAAAAATAAGTGTTAACATGAAATTGCAATTTGTAGGACGCTTGATAAATTACGGCAACTACGCAAATGTGCTTAGTTACGGAGGTGTAAACAATTCCAGTTGTGGCTTTGTCAAACCGCTTCATTTGCGCTCCGTAGTTTGAAAGGGTGTGAATTACGGAAAGGTGTAAGTTACGGCAGAGTTTTATGAAACGAGGCCCTGATGTGAAGATGATAGAACAATATATCTTATTCCCAGGTATCCGAATAACTCCAGTACCGACTTGAATCGTTAAATTAACAAATATGACGTCCGTTTAGTAGATCGAGAGCCGAACGTCCTTGCCGTGGCCGGTCAGGCGGGCCGAGAGTGTCGGGTCTGCGAGTTGATAAGGGTCATTTCACGCATCTGTGTGGCCGACTTTCGTCCATCGTGAGACTGAGTTGTGTGATTGCGCCTTATTGTCCCGGGACGAGCGGCCGCGGCACGACGTCTGCGGGGTGGAGGAGCCTTGGCCACATTTCCCGGCGGCTTTCTCACCTTGAGCGCGTCGGCCTCGTCCGTCTCAGCCTGACGCTCGCGCTGCAGGCCGCGGCCTGCAGTGAGGTGAGCCGGCGCTGCGGGGCAGCGCGCTGCGCCTCGCAGTTCTCGTGCTGCTCCATCCTGCGAGGGGGGATTGAGATGTTACCGGGAGTCGTATGGGATGGAGATGTTACCGGGAGTCGTGTGGGGGTGGAGATGTTACCGGTAGTCGTGTGGGGGTGGAGATGTTACCGGTAGTCGTATGGGGTGGAGATGCTACCAGTACCAGTAGTCGTGTGGGGTGGAGATGTTACCGGGAGTCGTGTGGGGGTATCTAAGGCATAGGGCAAGGAGTGCGGAAACAAAAAATGAGCGTGATCGGACCTGTTAGCCGGTGGCCAGAGCCTAAATTGTGAACAAGGCAGAATGCTGACAATTTTTACTTTGACCTGACCTGTGACGTCATCGGTGACCTCGAGGCCAATGAAATTATAGGCTTAGCTTGACAGTTGTTCCAGGGCTATCAGATGCCGTTTGAATTTTGACAATCGGCCCAGTAGTTTCGGACAAAACATGTTAGTGCAATCTTGGTTTTATTGGTAGCCGTAAGTGGTAAAAGTAGGTACTTTTATTCACTGTTAAAAAACAACACTTGGCATATGGGGGATTCACCCCCCGTCTTGAAAAGTGGGGGTCGTCGTCATCGTGACGAGCTTTGTCCCAGGAATCTGATGCTGCCATTAATTTTCACATACAATATTCAGAAGTGCCGACAAATCACGAAAATTCTTATGACGTCACCGACTCACCATGCCCTATTCATGTCGGAGCTATTTTTTTACAATTTGGGGGTCAAAAATCAAGATAGAAAACTGAAATTTGGAACAAGTTATGTTCTAATAGACCTTTTTATCATTTATCCCGTTTTTAATTTTGAGAATTTTGATTTTAGTAACTGTTAAAGGAAATAGTTCACATTTTAACATGGGTTTTGAACTGGAATAGCAGTTCCGTAGCTTGGGCTGAGACGAGCATAAATCAGGAGCTTTTACAGCCCAACGATCACCCTAGGCAAAGATATTCTATTTCTCGTCCCGAAAAAGGTGTCTTGCGTTGAGGATGTGTGCCTTGCATATATTTGCATCCAGTATGAAACGAGCATGGGTCCCGAAAATTCTTCAGAAACTAGAGAAATTATCTACGAGAACTCTAGAGAAATTCTCGTACTGATCAATAAGGACATTCAGGGGAACATTATCGCCCTTGCCAGTAAAACTAGTAAAAGGGCTAACTTTGCATGGTTCTTTAATCATTAATGCATTATTTCACGCACTGGCGGATCCAGGGTTTCAGCGCGGGGGGGGGGCATACCAGGTCACGGAGCCAAACCTTCTCCTAGGGTACCCCCAAATCCTGTCTTCTCATCGGATTTAGGCCACTTATTTTTCGTCATAGCCCTGATACGATAGTTTTTTCTTTAAAAAAACAAATGGTAGGCCACCTGGGCCCTGTTTCACCGGTGATAGCAACACGCTGCTATTACACGTGGGGCGTTCCACGACAAATCGACAAATAAAAAATTAAATTTGCACCCTCATATTTTATTTCTCGTTGAAAACTGGTGTAAGGGGTTGTGATGGGCGGGGAAATCGCCACATTTGTCTCAAGATGTTTAATGCATAATAATCGACACCGAAATATCGTCGTATTATTATGCAGGGTCACCAAAGAAAAAGGCAATGTTATTTATCAAATATCAAAGGAAATTGGCAACATCTAGCACAATGAAACACATTATTCAACACCTAACGAGGCCGGCCGAGTCCCCGATACCACCATGGCGACCGCTCAAGTCCAACTGGCCTGCAACTGGCCAATCAGGGGGCTTGTTTGTCATTTCTGGGTGGGATTAAAAAACATGCGGGCGGGGAAGCCAGCTGTGACAAGGATTTTTATCTTTCTAGTTGAGGTTTATTTGCCATTGGGTCTACAGTGCAGGGATATTTCTATCTCGCACTCCTCTGAGGTGCAAAGATAAGAATTTGTTATCTCTGCATCTCTCTGAGATGCAAAGATAAGGTCTCGAGGTTTCATAGCCAAAAATCAAGAGTTCAACTGATGATGGGTCAATAACCGAACGGCATTTTTAATGGCTGTTTATATATGAAACTTATGAAATAAAAACAAGCTACTCTAAATCTTTTTTTTTACATAGATGAATACATTTAAATATAATATTGAATTAATTAACAATAAACCTCAACATAGAAAGATATAGGATTCCTCATGGCTCACTCGTGGAAGATCGGATATCTTTTCCTCGCGTGTTACAGAAAAACCTCGCTCCTTCGTCGCTCGGTTTTTCAGTAACCCGCTTGGAAAAGATATCCTTATCTTCCACTCGGAGCCATGAAGAATCCTCTATTTCTTCGAACAACGGTTTCCGAGATATAGCCTCGGGCAATTCCAGCAGGTCGCGCTGCAGCCCTATGTTTGGCGGCCTATAACTCAGAAACTATTGGTTTTCTACGATAAAAACTTTATATGGTTCAACTCACAATCAGCCACCAAACATTTTCGCTATCTCGCATTTTCAATTTTTGAAAGTTTTGATCACGTGACCTTTTGACCTATTTTTCGAAGAGTGACCTTGATATTTTCCCCACTGAAAGTTGTAATTTTGTCTGATGACGATTAAAGCCTTATCAATTGTCATTCATATGCGAAAATAAAAAAGTGGATATCGCCCTGCGGGCTGCGTTGACCTCAGGTCAGGTAATTTTTATGACCTGTCCATTATTACGAGCGGGAGCGACAGCGAGATCTCGAGAATAAAGCAAGATAGCGACAAGCGGTAAACGGTGCAGGGTACAAATGGATAAGGTCTATAATTTTTACTGAGGTCATTTTCAGGTCAGGTCAAAGATGACGTCACACTTGCCGGCCTATCTTGCCGGCCCTCACTTGCCGGCCCTCACTTGCCGGCCCTCACTTGCCGGCCCTCACTTGCCGGCCTATCTTCAGGAGCCCTGTGGAGTCCTTATAGATCGGCATGGGACTCTCAGGCGTCGCTGCAGCGACGCCTGAGGGCTCTCATGGGAGGACTCCCTGGGAGCCCTCAGAGTCACCAGTGCAGTGTGGGGCCCACAGAGTTGCAGGTAGGTAGCCGTCAGATGCGCTTGTGTAAGACCTTCAGAGGCGCCAGTGTGGGGCCCTCAGAGCCGCCGCCGATTAGGGGCCTTAAGAAACATTGGTGTTAGTCCCTCAGATTGGTGGTATTGGGCTCTCAGAGGCGCCGGTGTGAGGCCCTCACAGGCGCCGTTATGGGCCCTCAGAGACACTGGTGTGAAGCCGTTCCATGCGGGTATGGGTCAGGACCCTAATTAGAGCTGAGCTGACGCTTAATGGGTCAGCAAGAGCACTCAGAGGCCAGCACAGGGCTATCAGAAGTCGGAGTGGGGCCGTTATGGAGATGTGTGATGTGTGGCGACTCAGGAGCCCGTGTCTCCGTGAGGTGCTCTCACGAGTCCTGCGGGTCTTATATCAGTCGAAATGAGGCACGCTTGGACCCTGAGCGGCCACTAATTGGCACTGCAGGGCCTCTCGGGCCCATAGGGCACCATGCATCTAATGAGGCGGCACGCGCCCCTTGTGTCTCCCCCCCCCCCCCCGCTTACGCTGCGCTGGCTGCGGCCATACAGGTAAATCGTATTCTAACCGTCCCTATTCCCAAGCATAGGCGGCGGCCGATTCCTGGCTTGCGCAATATGACTGCCGTCGTTACGCAATACGGTCAATAGGGTTGAAGCGGCATAGCTCCCTTGTGGTAAGAAGCAACATATTTTTAGACAAAATAAAGGCAATGACAACTAAATTGAGGTTACTAAAACGACTCTGATCACAAAAGTACCTAGTTACTAGGAAGGCTTTCTAATCAATTTTTATTTAGTTCCTCGTTATAGGCGTGAGAAGTGTAAGTCTGAATGGGGGGGGGGGGCATACTTGTACTGAATGCCCCTCAGGCTCCTGTCCGGGGAGCATCATATGCCCCTAACCTATTAATTTGAGGACTCGTTTTAGGGCCTTGGGCGGGCGGGCGGGCGGATGGGGTCTGGGGAGACAGATAGACGGACGGACGAACATACGGAGAGACGGATGGACGGACGGACGGAGAATGGAGAAACGGACGGATGGATGGACGGACTGAGAGACGGAAGGGCGGACGGACGGATGGAGAGACCGACAAAGAGATGGACAGACGGACGGGTAGAAAGAGAGAGAGAGAGAGAGAGAGAGAGAGAGAGAGAGAGAGAGAGAGAGAGAGAGAGAGAGAGAGAGAGAGAGAGAGAGAGAGAGAGAGAGAGAGATTCGCAGAGAGAGAGAGAGAGAGAGAGAGAGAGAGAGAGAGAGAGAGAGAGAGAGAGAGAGAGAGAGAGAGAGAGAGAGAGAGAGAGAGATTCGCAGAGAGAGAGAGAGAGAGAGAGAGAGAGAGAGAGAGAGAGAGAGAGAGAGAGAGAGAGAGAGAGAGAGAGAGAGAGAGAGAGAGAGAGAGAGAGAGAGAGAGAGAGAGAGAGAGAGAGAGAGAGAGAGAGAGAGAGAGAGAGAGAGAGAGAGAGAGAGAGAGAGAGAGAGAGAGAGAGAGAGAGAGAGAGAGAGAGAGAGAGAGAGAGAGAGAGAGAGAGAGAGAGAGAGAGAGAGAGAGAGAGAGAGAGAGAGAGAGAGAGAGAGAGAGAGAGAGAGAGAGAGAGAGAGAGAGAGAGAGAGACTGAGAGAGAGAGAGAGAGAGAGACTGAGAGAGACTGAGAGAGACTGAGAGAGAAAGAGAGACTGAGAGAGAAAGAGAGACTGAGAGAGAAAGGACTGAGAGAGAGAGGGGGTGGTGAGAGAAAGGAGGATAAGTATGAAGGAAAAGACTAACAGAGACTTCAGGGAGGACGGCAAGGAGACTGATACCTACAGAGAGGAACAGTAGCGGCGGAACACCTTCAATTAAGGGGGGGGGGGGGGGCACTGCCAACTTTTGGTCCCATTCTTTCCATGCAACGCCCATAGGCCATAGGGCTAATGTTAACCCTCGCCGGCCGAGGGGGGGGGGGCGGGTGCCGCCCCCCCCCCCATAGGGTTTTTTCGCGATAGCTCCGAACACGCTAGCGATAGAGAGCTGAAACTTGGCATACCTGACCTTTGATCCAAGCCGCATCTTTTGACACCAACCGCATTTTTGGGTCAGGTCAGGTCACTGACCTATGACGTCATAAGTGAACCTCTGCACGGTCTTCAGATGTCGCAACTTCGCAACGCCCTCACTGCCAGAGGAGATGTCACAGGGAAATGAAACTTGCAGGATCTAGTATCCATTATGAGTCTCACAACTTGTATATCTCGGATTTTTCCTAAAGGTCATATGAGGTCAGGTCATTTTCGTGACCTCACCATTATAAGTCAATGGGGAAAAATGAAAACTGCTATTCTGGCGCCGGGAACGATCTCCAACTATCTCAAGCACACAGAATCGTGATTTGATGCACTCCTTGCAAGGTTAGATGCGTCACTTTTGCAATGTTGACCTTCCGTGACGTCATTTATGACGTCATCAAGGTCATATTAGTTTTTCGTCAATAACTCCCGATCAAATTGAGCTAGCTAGTCGAGCAAGCCACCAATGGACTCAGGAAGACCTGCCGAATCGAATGATATGCGACATGACCTCTTTCGACCAACTTCGTGACCTGGGGGTGCTGACCTGACCTTGACCTGAGGTCAACACCCCAAGTTGACCTGACCCAAACAAAAAGTATATCATTCGACGCGCCTGAGCGAGGCGAACACGATGCTGCCAAAATCGCGGCTCTGCGGCCGTTTTTTGCGAAGGTATTCACCAAAAACTGAACCGTACCCTGGGGCACTTGACCTGACCTCAGAGGTCACCGGTTGACCTAGGACCTTAAAATCGGGTACCAGTCTCTGCGTCTCGTAACGGCGCACACGCTCGTTTTTTCCGCGACGCGCTAGCTCCACCAGGGGCGAAACGGCGAGGGGGGGGGGTAGTACCCGCCCCCCCCCCCCTCGGCCGGCGCGTATGTAGAAAACCAATAGGTCCGGCGAGGGTTAAAGGTAGTGTGCCACCTTTGAAAGATTTCCCATTTTATTTTTCCTAGGATAAGAGGCTTCTGTTTTTACCTAATATCGCAAAAAAAATCAAAAATGGGCCTGGAATAGTGCCTTTTTCGCCTAAAAGTTTTTCGGTTTTTAGATATGTATAACAACTGTAGTGGGCTCACCTGCAAACAGGCGTCGGGCAACAATCGCGAATGCGGCGCACTTGTGACAATAAGCAAAGGTCATTATAGTGTTACGACCATACGACGTACGGGAATGAGTTATCAGCTGTCTAATCGTAGACAACACAATGTCGAGCCTTAAACTGTAAGCCCGTATTGGTATTGTTTCTTTTATTTGGCTGTCGAACATTATTTATGGTTTGAAATATGATTTTATGTAAAATAATTGATATGAAAAAGCCGTCTTATAAGTAATGACCCCATTTCACCACACGCAAGTGGCAGAAATGACAATGATCAGCTGACGCAAGGCCCTAAATACAGCTGACGCATTTTTCTTGGCCGAAGTCAGAGCGCGCGGCCCGACGCACCACGCGTATTTGGAAATTCCGACCTCGACGAGCATCAGAAGCCACCTAACAGGCGTGTTCGAAACCGCAGGAGATGATGATGAACGGGTTTATCGAAACTTGATTGGATGAGCATATCGGTAATAGCGATTTCAGTGTGTGCATTTATTGTTCATAGTGGTGTGAAATGTGGTTGGGGTACGACCGACAACCCGTCGGGGCGAATTTCGCACTGGGGTACTCAAAATTTGAAGAATTTAAGACGTTTCCATGAGTTTTGAAGGTATGGATAAGTTCTAAAAATCCGGTTCTCCTTATCTGGGCCATTAACTCCATACGGTCCAAGAAAGCTGGCACACTACCTTTAAAATGCCAAAATCAAAGGGGGGACGGTGCCCCGGTGCCCTCCCCGTTCCGCCGCCTATGGAGAGGAAAGATGAGTGAGCAAGGGATTTGAGAGATAGGTAAAGAGACAGGGGAGAAATGAGATTTTATTGCTCCGCTCCTAATAACACTTCCTAAAATAAAATATAATTGGCCGTAATTATCGAATAAGAATCGGAAATTGTCAATTGAACGTCTGATTCGCTTAAATCAATCGACAATCCGCCTTAATTACCATGTTTGACATGTTTGCAGTTTGCACCAAAGCCAGCTTGCAGGCTATAGCCTATACATCGAGGCAGTGGTATATACTATACATCCCGGTGAATTCCTGCATATAGCCGAGACCTCCGGCGGTATTTTCCCACGATCAGCCGGATTTCAAAGTCGTGTATTTTTCGTCCATGGCAGGCGGCCCGCGCAATCTCGGGGAAAGAGGCACTCCAGTAACAAAAGCACGAGCAAAATTGATGAAATACTAGGACTTACTCCACAAGGAGATCGAATGGGTCGGAGCGCTTTCAATATGTATTATACATATCGTCGTCAGCGAATCAATAACGGGTCGAATCGAGTCGGGTATCGAAGAGGTTCGGATACCGACCCATACCGAAGGAGACCGACCCATTCGATCTCCTTGTGGAGTAAGTCCTAGTATTTCATCAATTTAATTCCATCTCCACATCATGTCATTACGTCAAAAGCACGAGCAGATCGCCCAAATGCCGGTGGCCGCGATAATTTCTCTAGTTTCTGAAGAATTTTCGGGACCCATGCTCTTTTCATACTGGATCGCGTGTGCCTTACAGAAACTGAAAAGTTCTTCTTATATCAAAATATAGAAAGTAATTTTTTGTTATAAAAAGGTTTTATTTTCTTTGCTGATCATTTTGAACATAAAAAAATCAAAAATCCATTGCAAAAAAAAAATAATTTCGTGAAAGTGAACTATTTCCTTTAAAAAAGTTTTATGAATGTTTAGGGGTGAAAACGCATTTATGGGAAACGCGTGATAGCCATTTTAAAGAACTGAATGAGCTGCGTCTATTCATGTCCTTGATTTGCAATTTGCTTCAAACCTTGATTTTTGGCGATTTTCTAATACATTTTTTGACGGAAAAAGCCATGAAAAAGTTATTTCAAGAAAATTGATACCGTAAAGTGGGGCTATTTGAGACAGTGGGGCTATTTGACAGTATTTAAAATCGTTATAAAATGAAGATCGTTTGATTTTTGTGTGATATTTTTGCTCAGGGAGGTATGGAATCGAGCAGTAAATCGCCTGAGGAAAAAATTAAGCATAAATTTTAAGTGGTTTTTATTTTATAGTAATTTTAAATACTGTCTCAAATAGCCCCACCTTACGGTATCTAAAAAACTTTTAGAAAAACTAACGCACAAATTTGACAGACGTCAAATTGATAAGGTCGAAGGCATTCGATGATACGATAGCGTAAGCGGTTCGTGAGTTATTCCAGAAAAACAGAGGGGGTCGGATCCGACCCCCCCCCGGCGGTCACGGGCTAACGTGTCCGTGTCAGCACCATTAGACCCAACATTACGAGTGCAAAACGATCCCCGCAGTCAACGTGCTCTAAAGCCCTAATAAACAACAAGACCCGTCAAATAATGTGACGGGCCCGGCGGACGGTCACCGTCTACTTACCCCGCTGCGGCGACAGGGTGGACGCGATCAGAACCAAATCGGAACAGACTGTCGGTTGGAGTATCAGAGTCCGCCCCAGAATACAACCGCCAACATAAGAGCCGGCCAGCCTCGGGCGAAGAGACGCGCCCACAGCCACCGCCGTCAACACAGGATCGCCGCCAGGGGGACGGGGGACGGGGGATGGGGGGGGGGGGGGTTGGAAGGGGACAGCAGAAAAGTTGGGTACGCGATGCAATGTCATGATATCCGTTCCTTGAACAATGAGCATGGCTTTTAGGTATCATATTTGTTAAAATACCTATCAATCATCACATTATTTGATCAATAGCAGAACATTGCATTGAATATTCATTTGATTGCTGTAACGTGAAATGACTATTTGAGCCATGGTCCGTGATAGAAGTCAAAGTAGGGTTAGAGCCTAGAACCAGACAACTGCTCAAATATTTATAGGTGAAGGATGTGCAATGTGCATGCTTGACGAAAATAAATCCAGTCGATGATTGTACTTGACAAGGTTGAGCACGGAAATGTCGGTCGGCTGTCGCCATTCGATAGTTTCTTCCGACCGCTTTTCGGTAAGACAGCATCGACCCATCAACCGCCTATTGGGAGAGGGGGGGGGGCAGGGGGTTCTGTTTTTGATAGTCGCACCAGTCGCCGCCCCATGGATTTTAAAGGTTCATGTCACGACACTGAATGCATTAACTCTGCAGAAAAACGTCATATTTGTTAATTGTCTTCGTGTAAAGCAAGTTGAAACCGCCACAAAAAAATCGGACACCTATGCAAGCGCAAGACGAAAATCTGCTTATCACGGTAGACACTTCGTAACATCATGATACCAAAACTACACATGAATGCACCAGTGGAATTATCATTAGCGGAAAATCTCACTCATAGGCATAACTTACCTTTAAATTGCAGGCACGCTGATGAGAGTAACGATGAAGGTCAACTTGTTGCTCGCCTTTGACTTTATCACAACTCTTCACCTTCAGTCAGTCGTGGAATATCAAAACAGAAAAATTCAATCGTTGATAATCCGCCGGGTCAATGAACGTAAACAATGCACGTGACGTCTCAGCTCCGTTGCCCATTTCGAGGTCAGGCGGCGGCAGTGGGCCGACCGGGGGCGGCCGCTGATTGGTCAGAATAAGCGGCCACCTGATTGGCGGAGCGGTGACCGGGCGGCCCCCTGATAGGTCGCCGTCGACCGGGCCGCTTCAGAATACGCGCCGTCAAGCAGTGAAATGTGTGATAAATCGATTGCAAAAACATCTTATTATCTCACAGGGAGGGGGTATCTGGTGCATTCACCCCTTCGGCAGCCTCCTAAATCGTTCAAAATTTGTCGCTTTCCGTGAGCTGACAACAAAACAGCAATTTTTATCAGAAAAGGTCTCACTTTCACTATCTCAGCGACGCATGAGGTACCCAAATCGGAGGAGTCTGGATAATTTGGGACGATTTTTTGGGAGAGAATACCCCGTAATGTGCAGTACTGCCTTTCAGCATCGGCCAGTGTACGAATAAGACACAATTAGGCCAAACAATTGGCTGCAAACCTATGCTAATAATCAGCAATTAGCCATAACCCGGACACCCGATGAACAACCAAACTCGGTCGGCCGGTCTCAGCCGGCTATATCTCTACGCCACAGAGCTGGTGGATACGGGTCGGGCGGCCGGCGGGGGGGGGGAGAGCGGAGGGAAGACGAAGAGCGCATTTGGCCGGCGGCCGCACAAGTTTATCTCGAAAAGCAAATTAGATAGAAGATCGAACGATACCTAACTACTAACAGGGGCGCGGGAACTACTTCTATAGACTGGGGGGGGGGGGGGGCACACCATAAAAGAGATCATCCTAGGGTCCCCCCAAACCTAGTTTTCTCACTTTTTTTAGGCCACTTATTTTTCATCCCTTGGCTTTTTCAGCAAAAAAGAAAACATTTGCAGAAAAGTGCGGTATTTCGTCTCAAAGTTGTGGGGGCACCGCCCCCACGGCCCCAGAGTTTGGGGGGGGAAGCAAGCTGCCCCCACTGCCCCCCGCTTCCCGCGCCTATACGAGTAGCTTCGAATTCAGAATGCAGTTTTTTCACTCGGGTCAGTCAGCCCTCGTCCTTAGGCAGACATGTGCATGGATTCGAGTGATGGATCTATGATCTCCTCAGTCAGTGGATCTCGAAGCAAACTGCAGATTAGGATCTATGAGGCGACCGAATCCGGCATAAAAAAATCTGTCCTAGATCTATGATCTCATAGGATCCGATGACAGGAACCAAGAATATGCAGCTATGATCTGAGTGGATCCCACCATACCATGCACAACATTTGAAGCCAAGTTTTTAACCCTCGCCCGCACATGGGGGGGGGGGGGTGGTTGCCACCCCCCCAGGTAGTCTTTCTGCTCTGCACTCAACATTTTTAGAGCTAAAAAGCTGATTTTTCGTATAGCTGCTCCTCTATCCTTTCTTGATGTCCACCGAAAATTTCAAGTTTCTGTGATTTTTGGTTTCGGAGATATGACCTTGTTTGTCAGGTCATGTCATGACCCAAATGGCCAATTCTCAACATCTTGCGTTTGCCATGGGCCTTGTGAGCTTTTGACACGTTGATTTCGGCCTTTTTTGCCAGTCTTACCTCCCACCTATCATGGAACATGTTGTTCGACGATGTACAGGGGTCAAGGTCAGGGTCAAGGTCAACCTAGGTCATCTAAGATAATTGCGTTTTAGGCAAGCTGAATTTACTTTTTGTGAAGTTTTTTTGACTGCATTTTTGGTAAAAGCTTCTCAGATCATGATTTCATGTAATATGGACACAAAAACAATCGGTGCACTCATCAGAGCCCTGTTCGGGCAGCGCATCCTATTGCAAAATTTTGCACCACGCATGCGCAGTTGGGGTCTGTCGGGTGCGCAGGGGCGGCGGATTCGGGGGGGGGGGAGGGGGCAGGGGGGGCAGCTGCCCCCCCTGGCAAAATCGTGGGGGGGCAAAAGTATCTTTTTGCCCCCCCCCCATAATTTGTGACAAAGCTTAGACAAGAAACCATATACCTGATTATTCTGTTCGAGCATCTGAAGATGTAACCAGATGCTCATGTACTTTCATACGTTGCCTTTCTTAAATGGCAAGCGTTCGCGTTCATATGAAGTTTTCCTCTCTTCAACCTAGTTTTGGAGGCATTATAAGCGTCAACGTGACGCAGCGGCAACCCAGGCCTTCAGTGACCGCTTACAGGGGCGACAGATACGGGGTGGCAGAGGAGGCATCGTCCCCTAAGAAACTTTTGGAGGAGGGGCAAACGTATATTCTTGCCCCTCCATAATTTGTGCCCTAAACATGGGGAAAATTTCCATAACCTGATATTGCAGCTATGCGCTCCTACAGTTTGTCCAACGGTGCCTTTTGAATATGTGTAAATGCTAACTATTTCCGCTTTATATCATTTTTTGTCTTTTTAGATTCGATTTAGCGATATTTTAAGTGTGCAAGAGACGCAACTCATACCTTCAGTGGTCGTTTGCCGCTATTTTGTACCTACATAAATGCCAAATCGTAAGCGAGCGGAGACGGAAGTGCTAGCCATTCGCTTGCGGGTAGTTAGGACTGATGAGCGCTCATAATAAGCCACGGTCGTACGCATTGACCACATTGACCAATGCACGTTATGGTATGGCACCCAAAGGCCAGTCATCATAGATCTGCTTTGGGCATTCGGAGGCTTGTGTGGGGCCAGTGTTAAAACTGGATGTTCACAGTTCAGTATCCGCTTTATTTCAGTTTTCACTATTAAAAAAGTAAAAATTAATGATGGAAACTTTTGAGGGTTAGGGCACTGATCATTAGTGCCCCTCCCCCTCTGTCTAAAGGCTGGCTAGGTATAGAATAAAGAGCATCAAACACGAACAGTAGCGGCGGAACACCTTCAATTAAGGAGGGGGGGGGGGCACCGCCGACATTTGGTCCCATTCTTTCCATGCAACGCCCATAGGGCTAACGTTAAAATGCCAAAATCAAAGGGGGGCACGGTGTCCCGGTGCCCTCCCCGTTCCGCCGCCTATGAACACGAAAGCAAAATCTAAGGCATTTTGGAAAAATGAGTATGCCCCGCAGCGTCCGATAACTACCACCTTCCAGTGGGTCAAGCCAACGGGGCCCAAGTCTATAATGGCACTTAACGATAGCACTAACCTTGTCTCACTTTTCGTTGAAGTCTGTTCCGAATGGTTTCGGCCACAGACTGGCTGCACTGAGGTCGTTTGGTATGTGCAACTGTAATTAAAGCCACCTGAGGCGCCCTGACACCAGGCTGAAGCTGGGTTGGAAATGCTTCGTCTTTGCAGATATCACTGGCCACTGATTCTCGAGTGCCTGAACCGGTAGATGTGGCAAAATTTGGTGTGATAATTTGGACCTTACCGCAGTCAGCACACCCTAAAGCCCTAATAAAGAAACGCCCCACCCAGAGCTTCTGGATTCCCGTTCCAGTCCACCGTTCCTTCACCTCAGCCCGCCGCCGCGCTCCCTCGCCCTCCGTTCCCAGCTTGACGAGCGTTTGGGCCTTAGTTAAGCCTTGCTGTAGGCTTACTGTATAAACCCATCGAGACAGCCCGTCTCGGTGAGCTTATTTGGCGAACACCATGCCTTGGGGAGGGTTTCTGGCGGATCGCTGTCCCAATATGTTTAGATGCGACCGACTGTCTCTGAATGTTTGAGCGGTCTCCTCCCGCTGTGAGCTAGTTTTAGTTGATATCTGTCTCAGAAATACTTTTTAAAGAAAGGTTAAACGGAAATCGAACGTAAAATGAACAGAGGAAATGGTAACGAGTTACCTCATTGCAAAGAATAGCGCGCGCCTACTTCAAAAGGTTTGGCACCGTTCTTCAACATCTGATATGCGATCGGGTTACGATAGGCGTTATCACAAGTGTATTCGCGGCCATTGGGGCGACGTAAGAAAAGAAGAAACCAACTGGCCCCAAGAACTTTAAATTATCAGTTAGCATGCACCTTTTCCTTGATGTGTAGAGAATTAACCATTATTTGTTACAGAAAATTGCATTTAAAATCTTCCATTAATGCTTTTTTCATCGTTTGCACAATATGTTCTTTTACTAAGCTAGAAACACTAATTAGAAATAGTTCCCCCATCATCAAGAACAATAGGGAAGGCTTGAAGTGAATAAAATAACTTAAACGGTTTTGTAATCTATGTGAAGGCACTTCTAAAATTGCCTATAGAAATATTGAAGGCAAAAGTTCAACTTTTTCACAAGACGGATGTCTATAAACCTATTTAACTTGTGGCAACTCAGCCGGTATTTCGTCGCCTACAGCCTAGCTTTCCCTAGTGACCGATAGAGGCGCTGCTATCGATGTCCGCCCGTGCCGCCTAACGATGACACAATTTTTCCCATTGGAGCTTTTTTCTAATACAGCAATACGAAAAGCGTTACATCGTCCACTGGCGGATCCAGGGAGCGGGCATTTAAAGCAAATATTTACTCCCCCTCCCCTGGCCCCTGCATCGCCCGAAATAGACAAAACGTACCTTATGTTTCCTAATAATAACACTTTATCAGGATTTTTTTTTTTTTGCTTTATGCTGTTCAGCAATAAGTCCGTAAGGAATCGAAATCCGAGGAGTTTTGGGATTTTGGACACTTTTTTTTGGGGGGGTATGTCCCTTATAGCGTCGAAAACGCCTTTCTGGATCCGCCTATGACATCATCTCGACTGGGATCTTGCCCCCCCACGCCAAAATCGAATCCGCCGCCACTGCGGGTGCGAAGCTCCGCCCTTCGGCGTATGACGTCACACGTGTGACGTAGGCTCGCGCAAAATCTTTCAGTTTTGCGCAAGAAGAAAATAGTAGCTGCAGGAGGCGAAAGTGGCGTGGATTAACCCGCGCCCTGCTGGGGGTCCTGGATTTCCACGCCCTGCTGGGGGGGGGGGGGTGTTTGAACACCCCCCCTTGTAACTCGGCTCCTGGGCCACGTAGCGATACGCGGAAGGCGGCGTTCGAAAGAGCGTAAAAAATAATGACGAAATCACTTCGGTCAATTTTTTGGTCAGGTCAAAGGTCAGGTCACCAGAGGTCATTGAAGGCAAAATTTCG